TGATTTGAGCAGATTTCAACACGTCCATAGAAGTCAGTATTGAAATCAGTTATTCTCAGTTGACCGTCCGAGCAACGAGCTGCATGAAAGATTTTGGCCATTACTTTCCACACACTGAGCTGCTCATAAATTATCACCTATATCTACTCACAGAGAAACAACACAACTTTTATAAAACCCTTTAGACTCCATAGGTAAATAAGCAGAAACGTATATAAAGTTTAGTATTATATTAGCCCTATATTACGGACTTATGGATGCTCTGGATGTGTCCTGGCTGGTTAAGTGTTCGTATTATGTATATACCATATAGCTATTATACCTGGCTGGCACTCAATTCCAACGTCATCATCATGGGTACAACCATAGTAGTGAGTGAAGTGGGTACAGCTATCCCATAATCTCCCCTCTGAGCCAGTACAGCTGACATAGTCCATGAGTACAGGACCACCGCCTCTACCATACTTGGCTGACGTGTGGTAGGCTAGATCTATCATAAAGTAGGATACTTTACCGAACAGACATACTGTAGATAGCTAGCTATAACTAACCATTGGAGTGGTCACTGAATCCAAGATAACTACAGACCACTGCTGTGTTTTTGTCAGTCCACTGACGCCCACATACAGTACCCCATTTCCCATCACTGCACACTTCCACTCTCCCTTCTCTCTCTGATTCTCCTCCCACTAGTCTGACTTCTCCAGTGAAACAGTCATCTGCACGTAACACACGAGGTTTTTACAAATACAAGAGCACTGAGTCTGGCAAAAAAATAATTTTTAGGTACCCTTCGTGCATATTGTGCATGTGTCAATAAATGAGGTGAGGTAAGGCAAAAGAAAAGCAACTACACCCAGGACAGCTCTTTTTTAGGGAATGTGATCAAACAGGGTAAATCTAAAAGCAGAAACCTGATTGCATTCTTGGACTGAGCACCATTGTTTTGTTCTATTTTTCTATCCTAAACTAATGTGACTGACACACTCCCTTAAAATTATGAATTTTAGCTACTTGCAATGACTTACAAGCATTACAAATTATATAAATTGTGTATTGAGTTGAAACAGCACCGACATTGTAGGAGCAATCTGTCAGTTTCGATTCAGTACCATTGCACGCTACACTGTCCAGTGTCTTGATATTTAAGACATTGTATGCATTTGACATGTAAGGAGCTGCAGAACAAAAAACAAAAAACTTTAATGGGTATTCATCAGTACCGGCGTGATTTCTAACCATCTGGATTATAACCAAGTTGTCTGCACACTACTGCACTGTTCTGTTCAGTCCAAGTCAGTTGGCTGTCAGAAACGGGTACCCACGTGGACGGCGCCGCGTCAGATAGAAAGATCTGAAGGTATCCATATATACCAGAACTAAGACGAATATCCATATGTTCAGGTCCATCTGTGTAATGTATATCATAAATGTTTCAGTGGTGTATCTGGCTTATTTGATACACTCACCTATGTCACATCTTACACCCCAGTCGTAATTGTGATTACAACCGCCTGTTCCTAAATTTGAACAGTCATTCAGGCTGTACTCTGAGCCAGAGCATCCATTATAGACCACACCAAAGTGAATTGGACCAGTTCCTCCACCAAATATACCAACCCCTACATCTGCCATTTGAGTTCAAGATTTCTCATGTATTTGAGCTTAGTATAACAACACATGAGTAATGTAAGTACTGACACGGATAGCTCTCTTTACCAGGTTACCTATGATTAATTAATATCGCCTGATCTCATGTCTGAAAATGGTGAAGAGTGTGTACTCAGAAAAAGGAAAGGTAGAAAAGAAAGGAAGGGAGAAATCATATCTATCAGTTAATAAAACTATACTTTTCACATCGGTGGAGGAATTCATAGAGACATTAAATTCTATATGATTAACTATTAAGGTTAAGATGCACTGATTACCATTAGCATTGTAATCGTATCCGAGCAGACGACATGCGACACGAGCAGTTGTGTAATCAGCTCCATAACCACACAGAGTCCCCCATTGACCAGACAAGAACATCTCTAGTCTTCCTATCCACAACTCATCACTCTCATCAGTCTTGATGAGACGACTTTCCCCTTCTCTTGTCTCATTGCCTGATTGTACGGAAGAGTTATATATTTCATGTTTGTTTATCAGTCTTCCACTAACCTTGCTGACACCTCACTCCCACATCCTGTTCATGAGTTACAGGCTCAGTGACGCTGAGGTATGTGCATGTGGTAACAGTTTCTTCAGAGCCAGAGCACTCGACATCGACAATGACGACATCTTTATTTCCTTCTCCAAACTCACGACAGCAGGAAACTGCTTCCCCTTTCGAGAGATGGACTAAGTTAGAAAGAGCTATATATAATATTAGCCTATATGAACGAGAAGGCCGCACCCACATACAATAAACAATGCACTTTAGTCTCCGTAATATCAATCTCGCTGAATGTGGAATGCTTAAGCCCACCCAAACACTGTCATTTTTAAACAAAATATGTACCACTTCCAGAAGCATGTTGTAGTTGTCTACAGACAACACTAGCATCATTGACAGTCCACTGAGAGTCACTGATAGTTCCCCATGTTCCGTTCCAGAATATCTCCACCCTACCCTCCCAGTTGTGAGGTCCTCCCACCAGACGAATGTCACCCTCTCTGTATGAGCCTTTAGCTGAGTACGCAAAACAGTCACAGAGTGCTGTGCAATCAGACAATCACATATTATGCGTACCAGGTTGACATTTGACTCCCACATCGAGAGAGTGGCTAGTTCTCCTCCCACTCTCCTCTATCTCACAGTCAGTCAGACTGTACTCTGATCCAGTGCACTGTACAGAGTCCAGGTTGACTGGTCCTCTACCTTCACCAAAATAGGCACCAGAGTGGCCAGTAGCACCTGCAGGATGACAGAAAACAATGAGGAATGCAAGTTAACGCTCTATTATGCTATCAACCACACTATAACTAGCTATATGCACATTTTACTTCAAAGTTATCTGCCTTTGACATAGAGAAGAGCGCATAGCAGAAGCATTCGCGATCGGGGGCCATGGCGTGTAATAGAAATACATGTTACGTAATAAGGATTTAAACACACCACTCGCGGCTAGCCTACTCGTGGCCTCCTCTAGTGAGATATTAGGGTACACCATAACCTGAACCAGTGCATAGTATAATAATAATAATTATCCTAGCAACAATAGCATCATGTTGTTATTGCTGATAGACACTGCTAGAGCTGTCAGTATCAGAGTGAAGATTCGCGGTGGCCGATGTAATGAACAACTCAACACATAAGTGAGTATTCACGCCCCTCCTTACATGAGTAAGTACACATGCATGTGACAGATAATTATGTGAAGGATGTTATATATACACGTATAAGACCAGACCTAATCAAGATGGTTATATCAGGTTAAGATACATGTCACCTCCCTATGAGACCTCTCATTGACAGATTTACATGAACAAGTCCCTCCTACAAGAGGCATGTTAGTCAGCGAGAGACCTACAAACATCTCCAGTCCCTCCATACCTCCATACAGCGACAGGTATGATGGTAAAGGACTTACATACATTAACATGTCCCTCCCTAAGACTAGATACGCCCATCAGGGATGCATTGTACATGACATCACAAATATCTTGCACGTAACATAATAGTGGCAGACACTCCCTCATCAACATTAGTTACCACAACAGCCCCAGTAGTACATGTGTATATACAAGCTCTGAGGCAACAATTAGGCATTGTTGCTTTGTAGAGTTAGGGCCTATTAGGTAAATAAGTAGGTCCTGTGTGGCTGTCCTATGTGTTGAACCCATACCAGCTGAGTCGTCCAGGTAGCTCAGTTGGTAAAGCACTCGCCTAGACTGCAGAGTGCCATGGGTTCGAATCTCACTTCTTGTTTGCTTCACCTTTGCCTTGCTACTTCACCTTGTTGTTGACACATGCATTATGGAGTCGGACGTCTTTGTGTGGTTTTATTACCCCGTTCTGCTAGTGAGATTTTACTGACCCAAAGGACAGTGGTTTGAGGTTTGCCTTTGTATGAACCTCTACCAACTGAGTTGCCCTGGCAACTCTTTTGTTAGAACGTTGCCTACACTGCAGAGTGTCGTTGGTTCGAATCCTACCCAGGGCAGCTCGAAACAAGAGCTTTCCTGGGTGTAATTGACTTGCCTTGGGCTTGCTACCTCACCTCGTTGTAACTACTCACACAAAAATACTTCAAGTGTAAAGAGCAACACAGACCTGGTCTGAAGTGGCCCAGTTTTCGACAGACTACTACAGCATCATCATTAGTCCAGTCAGAGTCAGTGATGGTACCCCATACTCCAGACATGTAGACCTCCACTCTACCTTCCCACTGGTAGGAACCTCCTACCAGACGAACATCTCCTTCACGATAATATTGACAATCTGCACAGTAAAATGAGTCACTGATACAGATAGTATATACACAATGAAGGGGTCAAGAGATATTACATGTCTGTGTAAATAGCAGTAGAAAAACAGGCAGAAAACTCCAGAACATCATGATGCAGCGATGCTTTGCCGCAAAGTTTGTTCACAGAGTGTCTTTTACTTTCTGGACCCCAAGGATTAGAGTTAAAACGATGAACCTAAAGGAACAATGAGTTAGTTTTATACCCAAGGCTAGCGCGCGGCGTGCGCCAGCTAGCTATGGGCTATAGGCATGCACTGTCATAAGAAACGCCTCAAAACATCATAGTGGCAGTCTATAACTCATCAATATTGGCAGCAGTATTTGCTAACATGATAAACACCTGTCAAACCAAACTTGGAGATGTAATATGGAATGCACACATGCATAATATTGAACAACAACTAATGTTTAGCCAGCGCCGAAATACTCCACTTGCGCATATCCCACTAACCTGCAGCTAAAGAGATTGGCTTGATAATTGTACTACTGTGCTGTTTTCTGTACTTATAGTTTTGAGCGTGCACGTCTGATGTTCGTGCGACTTGACTGCATTAGCAAAGTATTATTGTGTACACATTATGACAAAGTAAGTACACACACCTAATATATAGTACATTGAAGTTCAATACTGTATCAATACTGTTTCCCCAGAATAAGTCTTACATTGTGAAACATGCACTTAATGTCATTGTCAAAAAAAATCGAGTCAATAGTCCTCGTCTGGGGGATCGGGGCATTCATAAATGGCCTCTGGGGAGTCGGAAGGTGGACTCGGCTGTCTCGGTTGGCCTCTACTCTGGACGTGGTGTTGAGGCTTGGGACCAGCTGTAGGTCTGGAGTTGCCACCTCGAGCATATCGAGTCGAATCCACTTTCCGAGGCGCCGCTTTTGCCCTGTTTGGTGGTCGTTTCGACTGTGGTTTTGGCGGAACTGGATAACGATTCAAAGTGTCCATTTCTTCGTAGCTCTCGGCTGGGAGATCTTCCATTGCCATCTTGTTGTCCATCGCGACTGTTTCGGTTTTGCTACTGAAGGCGATGCCAGAAGAGCTGTATCGACCACCAGTATTGGGATCATGGGTGGAGTGATGAGGTAAATCCCTATCAGAGTACAAGTGAATTGTTATCAGCATTGACTCTACCACGTCGAAGGTACGTACTCTAACATCAGTATTAACCCCACTACATACAAGTGGATTGCTACTATTCCCAAGGTATACACATACTACTGACATGCATATTAACCTCACTACAAACATGTACAAGTAAGGTAGTGATTTTACTATTACAAACACACATACTTTCGAAAGTCAACATCAGTAATTTACATTGTATGTATTGGGGGTAACCTCGCTGAGTGTTACTGGAAACTGATGAAAATGTCTGTCTGTCTGTTTATCTATATAATGCTAGAGGTGGACTAACTTATCTCTCCTCTTTCTCCTCCGTTGTAGCACAAGCAGAGCAATTAAAACGGCAACCAGAGCAATAACCGCCACAGCCAGGATGACGGATATCGACAGTGAAGCCATCGCCACACTACTTGCTTGTGCAGAACTCTCCTCACTGCCACAGCTGATGCTGACGTCCATTGTAGTGGTAGGGGAACTGGTGGAGGAGGAGTAACGGAAATCCTGGTAGTCACAGTCGACTACTCTCTCCTCTGAGCCATAGCAGCCAACCACTGTCATGAATGTTGGTAGCGACTGACTTAATAAATAGCGCTGTCTCTCAGTTATGGAGTAAGAAACATCTGTGTACAAAGCAATCGGCAAAGTTGGGTGGGTAGCTATAGCAATAAAAAAATCTGTAAAACTATTGGATCAATACCTGAAGTAGAATGGCCAAGTTGTTTGCAAGCCACTTCGGTGTCAGTGTGTGTCCATCTTTCTCCATTTATGGTTCCCCATCTCTTCCTAAAACAAACCTCAAGTCTTCCTTCTTCTTTTCTATTACCTCCAACAAGTCTCAGATCACCATCTCCACATGCAGCTGCGATCAAACTTGTAAATAAGCAAGTTTACCCAATGCTAATCTATGCATACGTTCTTTGCACTTGACAATGGCTCGACGTTCAATCTCTGCATAGTCATACGGAGAGCTCTTTTTAAAGCCGCAGTCGAGTAGCGTTAGGTCTCGCCGGGTGCATCTGATGCTGTGGTAGTGCAGTGGTTTAGATGGAGCCATAGGTGTGGACTGGTTAGCCGGCTCATCTGCATTAATTGAAGGGAATGTGACAGTACGTAAGGGCTAGAGAAGGAAATAGGGCCCAGTGAAAGAATTAAATTACAGTTTCTAAGTTTAGCCTATACTGCTACATTCCCATGACATAAATTAGCCTGCTGTGCATGTTCTATGCCACCTAATGAAGTGGTTCCCCCAGAGGCACTATGAACAGCTAAGCTTACTTGTTGTGTCATATCCAAGGACATTGCAGACAACATCAGAGTTGGTCTGTGTCCAGCCATTGCCTCCAATGGTGCCCCATCTACTACTGAGACACATCTCCACCCTCCCTTCAAAATCACTCTCTCCCTCCATTAACCTCAACTCTCCATCAGTACAATATGCTGTGGAACATAAAGTCTATGACAATGTAAAAATGTGCTGATAAAATGCATGTACCAAGAGAGCAGTATATTCCCACATCGTAATCACTAGATCTTGATGCTGTTTCATTAAAGCTCTGGCACTCGGACAGTCTCGACTCTGATCCAGTACATTTGAAGTAATGGTTGAACCTGGGTCCTCCACCACCTCCATAGGAGGAGGTTAGACCGCTGTAACCTGTAGAAGGGTTTGTTCCAAACTGCAGTCAACCTCGACTTATAGTACGTAATGCCTGGCTCACTGCACACATTATTAACCCATGCGCAGAGAGGGTTACAGTAGTTACCCTCGGCGCGCATGCGCAGCGAGGGTACTGTAGTTGGGTGTGTGTGTGTGTGTGTGTCTGTTACTCTACATCTCACTTTTCGAATGTTTGTTCGTCTCACAAACGATATGACCTACTCAACGGGCAATGAAGGGTTTGCACTTTAGTGCTTTCATTGGGTCTGTCTGTGTGTGTGTCTGTTACTCTACATTTCACTTACCGAACATTTTTTGGTCTCACAAACGATACTACCTACTTAACGGGCAATGAAGGTCAGAAAATTGTACGGTTTTCTCTGAAAATGCTCCGTTGCAAAGCTAGAGCGCGAAAAGGCCAATATGCAAATACACAACAGCTTACCAAGGTTTGATCGATCCGCATACTCTGCGTACCTCGGAGGTACCAGAAGATGCAACGCAGGGCGTGTATCGCCTCTCGTATGCTATCTAGTAGTGTAGTTAGCCCGCGTCAGACTCTGCGCGAGCTGGGAAGAGACCACGAGTAACAGCTAAAACTAAACCCAGTCCATCAATTAGTGATACCGTGCATGCGTTTACTTATGTTTGCGCGTCACAATGCGCCGAGGGTTTGCACTTCAGTGCTTTTCATTCTATGTAGCTCTAATGAATTATAGAGATTCCATGGATAATAGTAAGTACCTCTGAATCCGAGTTCAATGCAAGCAACCTTTCCATTGGTAGCAAACCAGGTTGAACTGTAGAACGTGTTCCATCTTTGATGGGAGCAGATCTCAACACGCCCTCCTGTCACTCCTGACCCATCTGTCAGCCTCAGCTGCCCATCAGAGCAACGGGCTACATACAATCAAAACTTGTATATACATAAATGAACCTTTGCCATAAGCATATACAGTGGAATCCTTCTCTATTGACACCCATCAATAAGGATGCTAAGGGACTCTTTTCAACCCCTGAAAATTGGACACCTCGCATTGCTTCTGTCGTGTCCCAAAGAGCTGTGGCTGAGTATATACCTGGCATACACGTCACTCCAACGTCACTATCATGAGAGCACCCAGAGGCGTGGGTAAAATGGTTACATCTCAACAAACTTCCTTCCAATCCGGTACAGTTGATGTAGTCAATGAGTACAGGTCCAATGCCTTTCCCAAACTTATCAGATGAAAAATACCTCGATTCTAAAACAAAATTTTTCTGCCGGTAAAAGAGGAATACTAATGTTTGACTTACCATTGACAGTTTCGCTGAATCCAAGGTGTTTGCAGGCTACAGCTGTGCTATTTTCATTCCATCTATTGTCACAGACAGTGCCCCATCTGGAGTTGAAACATACTTCAACTCTTCCCTCTGCTTCAGTTCCTCCACCTGCTAGTCTCATACCTCTAGACCTACAGTCAACTGTATTCATATGGCAAAAGGGTAAAGTTTCATATTGAGTTTTGTGAGCAAGAGCGAGCCTACTGTTATAGCACATGTCACAGTGTCTACAGCTAGCACTCAGAAAGTCACATAACTAGATATGTAATGTTGGATCTATGGCTACCATATGTATGTGTGCTCTTCCAAAATGATGAGCTAGTTAGTTGAGCAAACACTTTAATGACTTCAGTCTATCAGCAGTTGCAGTAGCAGATTTAATTTGAGAAAACACGGCAGTTATATTACTGCTCACCACCAAGGCATTCCACTCCAACAGTCGGGTAAGAAGATAAGAGTGTAGATACATGAACACAGCTTTGAAGACTTGATTCATCTCCGCTACATGTGACATTGTCTATTATTGTAGTCACCGGAGGGCTTGGATAGTATGTATTATGCCTGTAAAATGACGATGAATCTGAAAAAAAGTGTATATTATTCCTGTAGTTATGGAGCAAATTTAAACCCAGTAAAACTCTAACCAGTATGATAAGGGTCAAATCCAAGCTCTCTGCAAACCACTCTAGAGTTGTTTGACGTCCAGGTTGAGTAAGAGTTGGCAACGGGTTGCCACTGCTCTGACAGATACACTTGCAACTTCCCACCATAGAGACGGATATCCCAAGGATCTTGTCCATCTGTCACGAAAAGTGGGGCATAATAAAGCTGCAGAGCTATGTTTCAATAATTGATCATAATTTATAATATTATAGCAAATAAACAAACGTTCCAACGTAAACCTTATATGAAATGTGGCAGTATAATATTAGGAGAAAATGTTACAAAAAAATTGAAACATGATTGCACTCTTGCACTGGGTCCTATTACGTACTGCCACATTCCCATTAACAAACTCTCTAACCTATGGAACAGAAGACACCCCAGTCATATGAGTCCTATTACGTACTGCCACATTCCCATTAACAAACTCTCTAACCTATGGAACAGAAGACACCCCAGTCATTTGAGTCCTATTACGTACTGCCACATTCCCATTAACAAACTCTCTAACCTATGGAACAGAAGACACCCCAGTCATTTGAGTCCTATTACGTACTGCCACATTCCCCAATAACAAACTCTCTAACCTATGGAACAGAAGACACCCCAGTCATTGAGTCCTATTACGTACTGCCACATTCCCATTAACAAACTCTCTAACCTATGGAACAGAAGACACCCCAGTCATTTGAGTCCTATTACGTACTGCCACATTCCCATTAACAAACTCTCTAACCTATGGAACAGAAGACACCCCAGTCATTTGAGTGAGAGTATCCCGTTTGAAAGAGGTCCCTATTATAGTCACAGTCAATTAGCCTGAACTCCCCTCCTCCACAATACGGATACTCCATCTGAATCGGACCAGTTCCTTCTCCAAACACAGAACAGCAACTCTGACGAACATCTAAAAGAGAGGTATATAAAAGAGTGACATTATACGCTGGTCTGCATTAGATTATATAGTGCCAAAGATAGCTTACATCGAGAGTGTACAAATCACATTAGTTATAGTTTTGAAGTCAGTGCAGTGCATTGGCATGATTTTCTGACAGGCACAAGCAAGGCTGGCGTATTATTACATCTATTTACACCCGTCACCAAATTTCTTATGCACGAGTAAGTAAGTCAAGTTCGAAGCTCAGAACACCACTTCCATCGCAAGCTCATGATACTCTGTTCTCTATAAATTATTTAAACCGAGCACATTTCCTTCTTAGCTATTGCAGCTCAGCAGGACTCTAACAATACAGCCTATTATTGGATGTCCAGCATTGCCATCAAAGGCATTCCATTCCCATATATTATAGTAATCTAACCCCTAGCCTTTGCCCTATACTGTGTATTGAACAACTAACAGTGATGTAAAAATGATGTAATGTCTCACATTTCTTGGTTTTTTGTTGCCAGCATTGGACATGTATTGTACACTGACAATACGATGCAATCACTGACCTTGAACACTATACCCCAGCTGCCGGCAGACCACTGGGACACTAGAATAGTATCTCGAATAATAATAGTCAAAAGACACAGTCCCCCATTCACGAGATAGGAATACTTCAACTCTGCCTTCCCAGTGGTTGGTCCCCCCAACCAACCGGATATCTCCTTCGTTTGTATCATTTCCTGAAAGAGAATGTGTGGCACCATAGAGGGGCAAAATTAAGTAACTGTTATTGAAAATAGAAACTTAAGGGAATGTAGCTATAGGTAAGGGCTAAATTTAGAAATGCTAAAGATACAATAAGCAAGTTCCTGTTTTAAATAACAGTTTCTATATTTAGCACCACATTCCCTAATTGCATTCTTGAACTGAGCCCTATTGTAAAGCCCTTATGCTCACCTTCTTGACATTGAACTAGTACATCATACTCATGGCTTAAAAGACTGTCAGTGTTCATTTGATAGGCACAAAATTCTATTCTGGTCTCAGATCCGGTACAAACAACTTCAGTGATTAGGATGGCTCCTGACGCAACTCCATAATTATTGCAGCATGGGATAACTGCTCCTGTACAATAGAGAACAAGAACAAACAGGTACCTATCTCATTGTTTACACACCCGGATTCGTGCATCTGGTGCTATCCTGAATTATACCTGGTGTCTGTGTCCAAATAATAATATTATAGCTACCTGATTCACTAGAGAGAATTGAAATCTAATTGCATCGCACTTAGCATTAGCCAGCTTCCGCTTGCATTACAGTCATGTAAGGCTATATTATACAGTGGAACCTCCGAACAAGGGACATTATGGGGCAAACGATTGCCCCTTGTAGAGAGGTTATCCTTATTTCTGAGGTCAAATAATAAGGGTTGAAACAAGTGTCCTTTGTAGAGAGGTCGTCCCTATCTCGGAGGGTCCCTTATCAGAGGTTCCACTGCGTGTATGTACCTCTGTCTGTAAGGCTATGTATAGGTTAGATGCTGAGCCGCGGGAACTACGCGATTTAGTGAGCCGAGGGCCCTGGGGCTGTCGGCGTCCCGAGCGCAGCGAGGGCGCTACTACCAGGGCCCGAGGCTCACTAAATCGCGTAGTTTCCCAAGGCGACGCATCTACCAACTTAGACTACAGCGCTAGCACCGCACAACAACGCATGCACGGTCGGAGCTTTTTGCTGAGGACGAACTGGAAGCCAGTTCGCGCAGGGCGTACAACAACGACGGATACCAGCAAGGCAGTAGAGTTAGAGAGTGTTTATTCTAGGCGTGCGCGGCTCGCTAACGCGAACGTAGGCTGGGGCGCTGGGCTTTTGCTCTCTCGCACCGCTAGGTGCGCGTGTGGCTCGAGCTGTAGCTAGAGCTCTGTAGTCATGCACCGCTTCCTACTCGAAGACGGAGTACTGGGGTTTGTGCGTGAGACAAGACCTCTCCAGAAGCTCCGTTGCCTTCCGCTCGCACGGCGTCTCTCGATTGGAGGCGTGGTTGCCCATGGCCAATACGCGTAGTAAGTGCCGCCGTGACGCGCGAATAGTTACGCGTGAGCAGGTACACTAACAAAAATAGTAAACGCTAAACTCCGCACATCTGATTGGTCAAATGTGCGTGTTACGTAGTCTAAGTCTATATGTGCCTCTGTCTGTAAGGCTATGTGTGTACCGCATCTGGTCTGTAAGACTATGTATGTATGTACCTCTGACTGTCTGTACGGCTAGTATGTACCACGCTCTGTCTGTACGACTATGTATGTTTAGACCGCAGTCACGCGCAATTGACCATCAGATTACAGAATGCGGGGGGTTTATTTTTCATAGACACCTCGTTTCAGGTGTCTAATGGCGTTTGCAGGTGGTCTACAGCAAACTCCCCGTACAAATGGCTATTCTCAAAAAGTCGTTATCTGCGCAAACCGGCCGATTCCGCGTTCGATATAGTAAGCGTAGAAGGCGCGACTGGCAAAGTAGCTCTTTTAAAATGCGTAGTGCACCTGCAAGAAGTGCTGTGGACAGTCTCCGGAGCTCGCCGAAGTCAGAAATCACGTCAATATTCCACGAAAAAAGCGTCGGCTTCTTCAGCTCTGGCGATACACAAACACATTGGGCCGTGTGCCGTGCGTTGCTAACCCTTTCAAACGCGCACCACCAATGAGGGCGTTTTATGATGACGTAAACGATTTTTGACGGGGGGCGCGGGGCTGTCTCCTCGGAGTCTCACACGTAAAAAAAGCGTCTTGTTCCATCCGAAGGTAAGGAATGAGGAATGAGCACAGCGTTGATAGCTTGTTGCTACCATTTGAACGCGCAAACACCAATCAGATACTCCGGTCTAAACCGGTTAGACGCGGAAGCTCGGTTGTCTACGCAACATTGCAACCCTCGGGGCATGTGGGTAGCGCCCTCTCGCTGCGCTCGGGACGCCAACATTCCACAGCCCCTCGGGTTTGCAATGTAGCGTAGACACCTCGCTTCCGCGTCTCAACTATAATGTCCAATTGCCTGTAAGGCTATGATGTAATGAACCGCTGTCTGTAAGACATGATGTATGTTA